AATAAGCCATCCTTATCCAAATTCTCCTCTTTTAAGTCCCTCGAGTTTGGGAATGTTGGCTATTAGGCCCAAAACAATATTTTCTCACAATTTAAGTCCTTAACTTACACTTAAATATTCCCGAAAATTTGGGATATTACAAGTAGGTTTGGATATATCAAGTCACCTAGTGAAATTGCTTCAGCTAGGACCTGGGTATTAAAGGAGGTGGCAAGAACATGATCATTCACATCACAAGAAGGTAAGAGGCACAAATTTTCTAAAAATACAAAGTAAATTCCCATGTAAAACATTCCTTTGCCATCCGCTTCTAGCTAGATGACCTGAAATGGATCTAGATGAGCTAGAACTAGAACTCATGGTGGTCATTAGGGCTATTAACAAGTCAAGTCAAGTGTATAGGTACTCGTATAGAACTTATCTTAAAAATTTGAGTTTGAATCAAGTTTAAGCATTTGTCGAGCTCAAAATAGTTGAGATGACATTCAAACTCATAAGTTGTCAAGCAAGTTCAAATTTACTCGCAAGTTTGAACCAACAAGTATTTTATCTTGAATTTGAGCTATTTTTTTTCTTATAATTCTTAAATATGTTAATAACTAATTATTTAACCATAAATTTTTTACATTTTTAAAAAATATTGTTATATCAAAAGCTTAAACAGAGTTTCAACCTTAAATTATATTGTTTTGTTAAATTAAAATTTAATTTAAAATTTAAAAATTTATCTCATTAACTGTTGATATTTAGATTTAAAAATTGATTATATTAAAATATATAATTGATTTTCAAATTTATGTTTAAATACTTAATAGGGTGAATTTTTAAATTTTAAATTAAAATTTTAATTTTCAAATATAAATTAAATTTATTTTTTTTTTAATTAGGACTGATATGCAGCAACATCTACAACTTAGATAATGATACATGCTCATCGTGAACCGACACACACCCCCTCACCCCCTCTAGTTCACCAATAAAAAATTGTGAGGTTCTAGAATACTTTTATCCTTTTCTTCTCCGTCTTGATACTTATTTCCAATCAAAACCTCCTTCCACTGACGCAATCCTTTGGCTAAAATCTCTCCATAATCAATTCAAAAGTGGTGAATTGCTCCAATAAGGTTTGTTCCTTTGGCTAAAATTACTTTTTATCCTGAACTTTTAGCACCTGAAACTTTAATCTGAAGTTTTTATTTTGTCTCCATTTTTGGATAGTGAATTAAAAGCAAAATGCTGGGTAGCTGTGGGATTTTCAATTTCTTTTTTAAGGATATGACAGAAATGTTGCACACAAGGAGAGGGATGTCGATACAACCCAATTTTTTTTGTAATCTTACCCATTCTCTGTCTGCACAATAATTTTCTTGCCGTAGTTTTTGGAATTTCATGGGTTTTTTTTCTAGGAATCTACTATTAAAAATGTTGGCTCCACCCACTGGTGGAGGAACTAGTGCAGGAAGACCCAAATAATGAGGAACAGAAAACGCTGGTTGTGAATGTGGGTGGATTTAGTGTTGTGATGGTTTGTTTGGATCAATGTCAGTGACCCAACAGGTTCTTTTGCTCATGTGGATGAAGAAATACCCAAAGTTTCTTGAGTGAAGTGGGTTCATGCGCAGAGTTAGATCTAGGTTGGCGAGGAACTTAGATCTATTCTGAACCCAAATCATCTAGGTTTGTGCAAACACAGTACTGTGTTGGCACAAAACCAATCACAGCAAGGGAGGGGGGTGGGGGTGGGGGAGAAATGTAGCCAAAAATGGGTAGAAGAAAGTTATTGGAAAACTGTTGGGCTAAGGGTGAAGAAGATGAACAGGGAAGGCAACAATTTCCTAACTGTTTGGTAACAAGAATAGATTATGTCTACATGAATAACTGCAGGGTTTAATATTCCTGGCCCTATTCCAAACCCAATTAACAAAACATATTATATAAGATGTATCCCACTGGGTGTTGAACCAGTGAGTGCACCTAGCATCCATAACTTAAATGTAACTTAAATGTATAACTTATTTAACTTAGTTTTTCAACCTTATTAAAATTTCATGTTATTATACATTTAAATTTAATAAATGAATAAATAATATAATTTTTAATTCTAAACCGAATACTTATGAGTAGGTCACGAGT